CCTGGGATCCACTCGAGATAAATCACTCCTCTGTTTAGGACTAGCATCCTCACTTGTAAAGTCATGTTCAATGACAGCTTTCTTTAAAGATCTATTTTTATTGGAAATGCAGATATACAGAGAGGAGGAGAGACAGAGAGGAAGATCGTCTGTCTGTTGATTCACTCCCCAAGTGGCTGCAACGGCCAGTGCTGAATCAATCTGAAACCAGAAGCCTGAAGCCTTTTCCAGGTCTCCCACAAGGCTTTGGACCATCCTCGACTGCTCTCCCGACCACAAACAGCGAGCTGGATGGGAAGCAGGGTGGCCAGGACAAGAACTGGCACCCGTATGGGATCCCAGTACGTGCAAGGTGAGGACTTTAACCACCAGACTACCATGCTGGGCTCCAATTGAGAGCTTTCTGAAGCCATTGTTTCCAATTATTTCCCTAGGAGGTACCGACTGGAATTATGGCTAGCTCCATTTTAAGGAGAGGAAATGGAGACTCCAAGAGAATGAGAACATTGACCTAGGTCACACATTCTACAAAGTTACAGCTTGCGGAAATTGACTGCAAATCCTGGCTGGCCAGTATGAGAATGTCTATTACCTTTCAGGAAATTAGAAGAAATCACAATTGAGGGGCAGACATTTGGTACACGGGTTAAGATGCCACCAGGGACACCTGAGTCCCATATCAGAGCCCCTGGGCCCCAGTCCCGGTTCACTGTTTCAGACTCTTGTTCATGCATACTCTGACAGGCAGCAGGTAGAGTCCTATCACCCACTTGGGAGATCTGGGTTAAGGTCTGGACATCTGGCTTGAGCCTGGTCCTAAAAGACATTTGTGAGAGAACCAGATAATATGCTCTTTCAAATAAATAAATAAACAGTTTTAAATTTGTACCATCTTCCAGGTAAGAGCAGACTTTCAGAGATCTTCAAGGACTTGTACAAGGCCATACGGCTGATAAATGGTGGAGCTGGGAATGAACTTGTGACTAACTGCTGGGTAATGAAGTTCAAATTCTTAGCCATTGTGTTATATTTCCACTTATGACTGGAGCCACCATTGTCTCAGAGATGTATAGAGGGTGTTTTTAGATTTAAATCCAACAAACTACCAAATTCAGGATGACAGGTATTAAGGTTCAAGGTTCAATGGGAAAACAGACAAAGTCTGGTCGTTTTCAAGCACCTAGAACAACATGTAACTAAGATGCCCACTTAAAAGGTTTAATCAGCATTTGGATGCATGGAAAACAATTGATAGACCAGTTGAAATAAGCCAGAGAGATAAATATCACAGGATCTCACTTGTATGCAGAATCAAAAGATGTCAGACTCCTAGAAGTGGGAACTAGAATGACAGCTACTACATAGGCCATACAGGGGTGGGTGGGATTTAGGGATGAGTAGTTGTTGGTGAAAATAGTTGAAATTTCAGTTGTGCCAGAGAAACAAGTTCTGATATGTGCTGCATTGCAGGATGACTTAAGTCATAAATTATGGCATGCTTTAAAATAATTAATAAGAGAATAAACTTGAAATTTCTCATCCCCCCCAAATGATATGTAAGTGAGGTGCTGGACATGTTGATTAGCTTGGTTTAATTACTCCACTTCTATATACATATCAAAGCATGATTCTGTATGAATTGCATACAAATCTATCAGTTTAAAAGAATATTTTAAAAATCAATGTGCTGCAATTGTCTAAAGATATGTGAATATTACACATGATCTTTGCACCATATTAGAATTTATTATCATACAAACAAATCCAAATACAATATGTTATCTAAGAAAATATGAACATTTGCTATTTTTCTGTGATAAACTCCTATTCCATTGTTTAAATTGGAATAGCCGACATTAGAGTCTTTGATTCACTTCAGATGGGCTCCCCATGTTGGACCAGCAGGCATCAACTGTGCAAAGTAATTGTTTCCGATTGCAGAAGGTTTGCAGAATGAAAGTCCATGCCTTTTCACTGTTTGTTATGGTTTGCTTGCCACCCCCTCATACCTTGCCCCATGTGCTATTTCAGTCTTGGAGTTGCTCAATCAAAAGACACAGCATGGAAGTGTATAGCATCTTGGCTATGTCTAACCAAGGACACAAACCATACAGCAAACGAGATGCAAGTGAACAGTCTTTGGAAGAGGCACCACAAAAACCCAGTGTAAGGCAAATTACTGAGTGCCATCAGTAGTAGCTGTTTACATGACAGGCCTCAAAATTCAAGGCTTTATTTCTAAAACTGGTCAAAATAAAAAGGCTTACACGTTCTGAAACCAAACACAAACACACACACACACACACAACTGAAACCAACCATACTTTTCCATTACTGCCAATAAATAATACCATAAATAATAATAAATTAAAAATTCTTAGATGAGTAGAAATAGATTTTATGAGATATGTGTCAACCTAACCCAGTGGGTATTCCTATAAATGTTAAGCAGAAACAGTAAATCACTGGGATGGCTTCAATAATTGGATCGTTAAAAAAATATTCTTTAGCCAAATATAAAGTAGAGTCAGAAAAAAGAGATTATAACACTACGTGCTTGAGTTACTTCGTTGAGAGAAGTAATAAATGAGTGTCTGAGAAATGCACATCTAGTTTTTAAATATCAAGGATTACTTTTTACATACAAGTAAAAAATGTGGAACAGAGAGCATTGAGATTCACATACTTATTTTCCATCTTATATACATTCTTAAAAAGAAATTGCTTAATATTTATAGATATTGCACTTTGACTCATTCACATACAGCTCAAACTAGCATTGTTTCAGATATATATATATATATTTTAAAAATAAGTAATAAATAAATAAATATATATATTATATTCAGTATAGATAGCCTTTGGTCAATGTTCATTCATAAGGGAGTATGGTGGAATTAAGTCATACACACATTGAATGAACACACAACTACACATGCTTGGCAAAAAAGAGATAAAGAGAGAGAAATGCAATATAATGTACATGAAGAAATATGCCTATTATTGCAGTCAATGAACCTAGGCCCTGGGGAGTAAACAAGATAGGACAGAGTCATCTGTTTGTCTCTTAGTTGAACACCTTCCATGGATGACTTCTACGGGGAATTCGAGTTGTCTTAATATGCTCGGGCATTTGAGCATCAGACACCATGATCCCTAAATACAAGCCAATTTTGTCTTATTTTCAACCAAAGAGACAAACACCTGATCAATGCCAGGGATAAAGCTTGGCTGCATTAGTTTTTAAAAACAGAATATGATCTACAATCAGGATCATTCCTGAGGACTTTGCAAAGGTTAACTTTGGCTCTGTCAGGTTTTTGTGTTTTCGCACTGATTTTAGAATTGAATTATTGGGTTTGCAATCATTTAAAAGAAGTGATAATTAGGATCATCAAGACTAACATGAGTTAAAAAAATTATATTGTGTTAGTATTGAGGGCATTGGCTGAAGTGTAGGGCTTGTGTTGCCCTAGGGCCTTTTCTATTTCATTCATTTATTGCAAATTCCCTTAAAAAGCAAAGACTTGTCTTCCAATTGAGGGACAAAATTCAGTAAAGATCCAGCCTGGGGAACCAAATGTCCCAGGTGGACTGTCTGCTCTTTATTTGGTCACCAAAATATCGCACAACTACAAAATCATCTAGAGAGATTTCTTCCAATACAGGGGTGACTTCAGACACAGGGACGTTGGGAGAGAGGCATGAAAAGTTATAAGAGGAATTCCCACATGGATTTCCTTTTCAAAACATATCACTCGACCCACAGGGATCTAATATTATCCAGCATGTATGTGGGAGCCCCTATTCTTTACGTTAGACATGTTCTTGCCTTGGACAGGCAAGGAAAAACAAGTTAATAAATATATATTCTATCATTTTGCAAAAGACCTGGGTTAAGAAGTTCCACCAAGAACTGCTACAGCCCTTGGAATCCACGTGTGTCTAAGGCCCAAGAAATGGTCAGCAGGCCACTCTTCCATGTCAATTGTGTCTACATTTGTGGCTACAGGAATGCCAGCTGGATTGGGAGGCAGAGCTAAGAAAGCCTCCTTTCATACCCAGAGAGCTACAATTCCTGACCCTTGGATATTAAATTTAACTAGGAAGTCACTTCAGACAAAACCACTTGGTGAGAGCTTCAGCATGCCAGGAGGCAGGGTTGGCAATCTACACATAAAAGGCTTCTTCAGCAAGCAGAAACAGTACCACAATAAGAAGCAACTGGTGTAAAGGGACTGTATATAGCTAACACTGGATGGATTCAAACAATGGCAAGAGTGGGCTTTGTTTTTTTTTGTTTTTCTGGGCTCAAGAATTCCTCCTTCCCCCCCCATGGACCAGGCAGGGTCTTTGTGTTGGAGGAGATAGATAAAATCTATACATCATGGCAAATAGAAAACTACATAGTAGACCTCAGATCTGAGGGTCAATAGCTGTGTTGGCTTGGAGCCTTCCCACAGAAGTCTGGACCAGGGTTTGGAGGAGAGTCAACACTCCCCTTAGCCCCACAGGGTCACTCATTCTGCAACAAGGGATGCTTAGGGTCACTTGGAGACCACACCCTGCTCTAGCACAAAGGGTGCCTTGGAAAAGTCCCAAATCAGTCAGCATCCATTAGCTGCTGACAATGACACAGGCAAGTGATGGGTGACTTCGGTTAACAGAAGTAGAGCGTGGGCTCAGCTAGTGTGGCTTGGTGTGTCACATAAATGAGAAGTTCTGTGTCCACGGATAGTGCTAAGTCACAGGCTACTTCTCTGATGTGTATCTTCACCACTCACAAGATGATGAATGGTACTTCCAATCTCCAGTGGCATCTTGAAACTGATAAGAACTGCTGCTGCCAACATGATTTTATGAAAGCAAATGCGTCGATAGAAACGAGATCCATGTCTTCCTTCTCTTCTGTCCTTTCTCACCTGCCAGTCTGAGAGCCGCTTAGTCAGTTGAGACAGGAAAGCAGGTTCGCAGTGGAGACAGGAGAGCTGTCCGGCTGCAGGATAGGAACCCTCCCACCTGGAAATGGATTAGACAGAGGCATTGGGTGCCAATCCTCCGGGATCATGGGGACACTTTTATAGGTTTCCCATTTTTGTCATACTGATATACCAGCATCTTGATACAATGTGAGTTTGCTGGTGAGATCCATGGGCTACTGGTTATGGAAAAGTTATGGTTGGTATAGAACTGTACGGGTTGCTTCTGGCACTTGAAGAAGGCCTTGAGTGTGGCAGCTGCCATGGTGCGGAATCGCTTGCTAATGAAGCAGTAGAGGAAGAAGTTGATGGCTGTGTTCAGAAGGGCCAGCATGTTGGCCACATCAGAAATGATGTGCACTAGCCAGGGGTTCTGGATGGGTGCCCCGTAGAGGTGGTAGAGAATCATGATGATGCGGGGGGCCCAGAGGGTGGCAAAGATGGAGGTGATGGTGAACAAGATGGCAGTGGTCTTGCCTGTGGAATAGCCACGGAGGCGGAAATTGCTCTTCCTCCTGAGCTTATACACAATGATAGAGTTCAAGATGAAGAAGATGGAGCAGGGAACCAGATACACGGTGAAGCAGTGGATCCAGATGAGGACGTGGTGCATGGAGGTACTGATGTAGTCCTTAGTCCAGATGTTGGGCCACCAGTAATAGGGAATGCTGGTCAAGAAGCAAGTGATATAGACACTGACAATGACTTTCCGGGTGCGGGCTGGGTAGGAGACAGTGTGGTATTTCAGTGGGTGGCAGACGGCGATATACCTGTCAATGGTTAAAGGAACAGTGATCCAAATGGAGGTGTGGATGGAGGAGAACTCAAGCACCTCAATGACCTTGTTGGGCACCTGAGGCATCTGTATGTTCAAGATGAAATCCTCCAACAGGAAGTCCACAAACACGATGAAAAAGAGGACGAGGATGTCGGCAGCAGCAAGGGCCAGTAGATAATTGTAGGAGGACTTCTGCCTTCTAGCCACCAGCTGAGACAGAATGATCACTGTCAAGATATTTGCTGTGGAGAGAAGAGAATTGGGTTTAACTCTTGAAGCAAAGATGAATTTTTCATTTACTCGGAGCCTCAGTCAGAGGTTTGTTGGAGCACTTCCAGCGAAGTCAAAGGGACTGAACTCAGCTTTACATGGAATAAACTCTGTATTGCCAATCACACTTCTTACAGACATATGGCTATTATAGCAAGGCCATATCCATATTCTTTTCTGTTTGGTCCTTACCAGTGCAGGAGAGGTGGTGCTGCCATTATCCACACATTAGAAATAAAAGTTGGGCTTGTAGATATTGAACAACTTAGAGGCACACATTAAATCAGAGGGACAGGATCAACTTAGATCTCTTGATCCTATATCCCATTTCTTTATTTTGTCCAACTGCAAAGAGAAAACAGGGCTGAGATGGACAATATAACCTCTTGAAAGCTTTTTGGAACTTGCACATTTTTAAAATAAGGGGAATATAAAATTATATGAACAGGGAGGATCAGGAGCCAGTGCAGGCTAATCCTCTGCCTGATGTGCTGGCATCCTATATGAGTGCCAGTTCAAGTACTCACTGACCCACTTCTGACCCAGCTCTCTGCTTAGGGCCTAGAAAAGCAGTGGAGGATTGCCCAAGTCCTCGGGCCTCTATACCCATGTGGGAGAACTGGAAAAAACGCCTGACCTCTGGCCTCAGATCAGATCAGCTTTAGCCATTGTGGCCATCTAAGAGTGAATTAGCAAATGGAAGATTTCTCTGACTTTATCTCGCCTTCTTTCTGTGTAACTCTGTCTTTCTCATAAAAACAAATGTCTTTTTATTTACTTAATTTATTTTTAAAGAAAGATTTTATTTATTTTTATGGGAAAGGCAGATCTACAGAGAGAAAGATCTTCCATTCACTGGTATACTCCCCAAGTGGCTGTAATAGCTGGAGCTGAGCTGATCTGAAGCCAGGAGCCAGGAGCTTCATTCATTCATTCACTCATTTTAACATCTGTATAGCAATTCAAATCCAATGCATGAACTTACTTTAATTTGTAATATTGGATATAAAACATATTTAAGTTGGTTTCAGGATTTTCTACTATGAACCACCATAGTTAATCTCTTGCTAGGACTCTTCATGAGAAAGATTTAGGTATGAGGACTTCTTTAACTAGTACATAGGAGGGTATTTTAAGATACTCATGGAAAATGGAATTAAGTGCTAAATTTAAGTCAAGTTATCAGGACATCAGTTAAGATGCTTGTATTCTATATGAGTGCCTGGTTTCAGTGACTGACTCCAGTTTCCTGTTAATGCATACCCCGAGAGACAGTGGTGATGGCTCAAAAATCTTGGGCTCCTGCCATCCACAGTGGGAGACTTGGGTTGAATTTCCAGCTTCTGGCTTTGGTCCAGCCCAGCCCTGACCATTGCGCATACCACATGGAGTCAGGGATGGAAGTCATGTCTTGAATCCAGGCACTCTGACACAGGATTTCCCAGGGATTGTTTGTGTGTAGTGATCAGAGAAAGCTTTCCTGAGGGAGTGATGTTCAACCTGAGATTTGAAAGACCCATAGACTAAAAGTGTGGGAGGAAAGAGTGCTTCAAGCAAAATAAATAGCATGTTCAGAAGCCCTGAGGTGGGGGCAAGCATCAGAAGCTGGGTTTATTAAGTCAAGGACCCTTCTATTGATTTCCACTTGTTTTGGAGGCACATTTTTTTTTCATTTACCAACTTTCTTTTATTAAAAACCTGGCTGTGCTCTGTTGAGAATAATTTCAAAAAGTTTTTATTCGTCCAGAACTTCTTTCAAGATGTATTTACCATCCTCTTTCAGTGGGCACAGGCCAAATGTGGATGCAGACTGGCACCGAACATATTCAGAATCTCTACTAAGATGGTACAGAAACAGCATGTAAGTGGCTAAGGTCTCAAGGGATGAGTGGATGCCATCTCTGTTACAACTGCTGGTGGGCAGATGTAGTAGAGGGTGGGGTTTCCAAGAAGAGACTGGGTCAAATGTCTGCCTTCCAGTCTCTACTGCTTACATAGTTAAAGCTTCATCGAACTCAAGGGTATCCACAATAAAGCACTCATGTGAATTCTTTTCAGAGCTAGGATTGGGTTAGTGTTCCCCCTTTCTCTGTTTCTCCTTTTATTAGGTCTCATTACAAAGATGAGAGCACAGCACAATGCAGGGATGGCAAACATGTTTAATCCTCCATCTACTGGTTGTGGCTGTCTGAGAGCCATGTTTAAAAGCATTCTTTCAACCATGGCTGGGCTCAGAAGTACTGTGATGAATTGGTGATGTCTGCCAAGGTGGGACAAATGGTGTGCGTTTATCCTACAGGTCTTGAGCCTTGGATCCATAGTGCTGCCTCCCTGGCTTTTCTCAGACATTGACAAACCAGTGGTGTCCAGCATAGACTAAAACTGGTTGAGACTCGGGCAGGCTCCCTCCTGCAGGCAGTATGAACTCAAATGGCTGCATCCCAGGGCAGGCTGACGCAGGGCTATAGGCAAAAGTGAGTCAGCATTCAGATGGCAGGGCTCAGGTCAGCCTTGCCAATCAATTGACTTTCTCTGGGCAGCAGAATTCATTTTGGCTTTTTGACCAGGAGCATCTTCATCCAATAACCATGACAACTGCTAGACCTTGATCGTAAAACCATTTCCAAGCGAGCTAAAAGATCCTCTAGTTTCCAAACTGTACTTTTCAGTACTAAAATGCATTTGTTTATTAACACCAATAATATGTTGGTGGCTTTGTATAGGTGGTATGATTTTATGTGATGAACATTTTCATTTCAAAAGTCACACATTTATTTTAAATGGTATTGAAAGACTATTGTTTTTCCAGGTAGGGCAGTGAAAAATGTTTTCTTATAAAATAATTTGAAATTGTTTAGAAGGCGAGTTGATTTAGTGATAACTTGTGGAGAAGACAGGATTGGTGGATTGCATGTTTCTGGCCTACACTGACAAATGAGGAAGTATATATCCAGAGAGAGAAAGGCACTTGCTCAAAACAGCATAACTGGTAAGTTGGAAAAGCATCTTGAAAGCACTCAATGGTGCCATCCCAGGTCAAGTTCTATACCAAGTGATGGAGCAGCTGCATTTTCTCAGTTCTGGGAGTTTGTCACAAAGACAGATGGGGCAGGGCTTTGCAGGAACAAGATTTGGAGAGGCAGGTGATTCTCCAGCAAACACCAAATGGAAGTCACCAGAAAGGACAGGTTGCACAAGATGAGAGATACGCATTTGGGATGCTGGCAGGTCTGGGAAGTCTGCTAGATCTGCATTTTCCAGCTGGTGTTCTTGGTAAATTTGTACTAACATTATGAGCTTCAGAGCTCCCATCAGTACAATGGTACCAATGGTACTTGGGCTGGGGTTTGATGGAAGCTAGCTCTAGACTCTAGACTCTACAGCTGATTCTGTGCATCTACTTATCTGGATGTTCCCACCATTAGCTTAGAGGAATGGATCACTTAACAGAAATCATTTCAACAGTATGGAACAACTGGGACTACATGGAGTTAGGAAAATTGGGGGCAGGATTCATTACAGAAGAATCCCTGGGAATGAGAGATACACACCTGAGATCTAATCACTTCCTTGAAGTCCAGGATATACAACTCAGATTCTCCCCACTACCCGTTCCCATGTCAAATGCTGCTTCCCACTGGCTAACCCTCCACAGCACTCACCCTGTATGCTCAGTAACGGTTCACACTGTCTCCTGATTTCCAGCAAGGTGTCTGCCTTGAGCAGAGGAAGCTTTTTGAGATTTGCTGTTTTGAGGGCCCAGGGTGATGGTCATTGGGTGCCAGAGGATCAACAGGAAGTCACAAGCTTCCGGTGCTTCATTTGGAGTTCAATGGGGTATCAGAGGCTAATTGTGGCTCTGCTTGGGTTGTCGCTGTTTGATTAAACATCTTGCGTTAAGCATCATCCATCCAATGGCAGCCAGGGGTATTTTTAGCTGCGGGCAAATAGCTTATCAATTGTGCATACAAAACGCAGCCATCACAAAGCCATCATTTTCTGTGACCCTGCCTTGCTCTTTCATGCAGGCAAGGACAAAGGCAGACTTAAAGGAAGCTAGCATTCATGTGTTCACCCAACAAATGCATACTGAGTTGCTTGCCCACTATGTATCAGGTGCTACACGAGACACAGGGATGCCATAATGCACAAACAAGCAAATGAGCTGCATCTCCATGGATCTGACAGTTCTCTCCCAGTCCAGTAGATTTCTGCTTTGCCACCTACTAGTTTTGTGGTTTTGGGTAAGTCATACATCTTTCAGGAATTGCTTCTTATTGTTCAAATAGCACATGCATTCCCAGCATTGAGGTTCTTGGTGAGGGGTTGGAAGTCTCTTCCTCTAGCAAGATGGCTGTGACCCAACAGCAAGTGTGAGGACACAGGAGTCCTGGTCATTTGCCCAGGCACAAGAGGAGCAGCTAAAGAAAGCTTCACTGTGGCACCATGGGGTATGCTATGAGTGAAGGCAGGGGAGGTGTGACTGCAAGTGAAATAGTCCAGAAGTAGGAACATTATCAATGCATCAAAAGTAAAATTCTTCATTCAACAATTTAAGCTGATTTTCAACCTTAAGGCTTCTTTTGTCTCAGGGAATTACTTCCTAGGGACAGCTGGGTACCCTCCAGCTAAGGCCACATAACTGCAAACTGTCAACTGCTGACTTCAGGTCCTTAGTTGCTTTTTTATATTCAGTCTCTTATCAATGGTTTCAACTTCAGAAATAGCATGATATTCAGAAAATAAATGAGCCAGTGTAGACAAAATTTCCAGACCACGTTGTTAATGGTTAATCCACATACTATGAGCTCCTTCGCTGTCAAGGCCATGAGAACTGAGCATAACTACAATCATGACCACTTCCAGAAGTCACTACAAGTCTCCTAAAATCACCCCAGAAAGATGAGAAGCAAAGAGTACAGATTTTGGAGATAGGCTATTAGACTGCAACCTGCCTCTGGTATTTTATAGC